CGCGAGGTCGGGAAGCACGGGAAGAGAGGAGGCAGGCGGTTAGCGGAACAGGCGGAGGGCCGGAGAACGGGTTTCAGGCTGCGGGACGTCGGGCTTTGATTGCTCTAGTAGCTGCCAATGAAGAAGGGGAGAGAAATGACCCCTCTTATATCGTGGAAGTGGAGCCAGAGAGTGAAAATGAAGATGAAGGGGATGGAGCAGAGGCAACGAGAGTAGGGACGGAGTGGAGAAGACCTGGGGCAGCCAATTTACCTACAGCGGGAACAGAGGGGCGTGCAGGGCCATTGGATGCTGATCGAACGGATGGGAATCCAACTCGGCAGCAATCAACGAGATCGAGTCGTGCACGCAGACATCGGACCGCATCCCTCCACCCTGTGTCAGGAGCGACCCCGCAGCTCCCCCGCTATTTTTCGCCAGAGGAGCTGGCGGAGATGGGGGACAAATTCGCTGACATCGCGAATTGGGACATTTCCGCCCTCTGCGACAGTCGCCAACCGCCACTGTCGAGACGTCTACCGCCAAATCTGTGCCAGTTATTTCCGCTGGCACTCCTGACCCTGCTACACCATCTCTCGCGAAACCCTGATTCCGAAGCGGGTTGGAGACTGCTTCTTTTCCTCCCGCGTCTGACCCTTCGCCAGGCTTCGCCAAAACATCCAAATTGGCCGCAAATCAAGGCCCGTCTTCGGGCTTTCCAGCGTGGCGAGTGGTCGCATCTCTACCAGGACGCGGTAAACGCGGTCAACGCCCCTCCGCCCCCACGCCACCGACCCGATGTGACAGGTGTACTGAGCAGAGCCGAGGGGTTGGCGAAACGTGGCAGTCTGCGCCGAGCCGTGTTGGCGCTCGAGTCAACACCCGTCTGTACACCGAGTCCAGAAATCCTGGACGATCTTCGCCAAAAGCATCCACCAGCGGGGGATGAACCACTGACCTGGCAAGCAGCCGACACACGGCCCCTGGGCATTTCCCACGCGGAATTTGCGAAGCTCCTCGGGCGATGCAAGAATGGTGTCGGTGCCGGACCTTCGGGTACAACATTTGAGCACCTGCGCGATGCTGCAATAACCAATGCATCCGTCAGCAACCACCTGCACGCCTTGGTTAATACAATTCTGGGGGGAAATCTCCCAGACTCGGTGGCGGACCTGCTCACAGCGTCTCGACTCATAGCCCTGGCCAAACCTGGGGGCGGGGCCCGACCAATCGCAATAGGCGAATGCCTGACGCGGCTGGCTGCCAAGGCTGCGCTCTTGGTCATGGGGGATGCTGCACGTGAATACTTCTTACCCCTACAGTACGGCGTGGCAGTGCCAGGTGGAGCAGAAGCAATAATTCATGCCGCCCGAACGTACGTGGATGGCCACCCGAACAGCCTGGTACTGCAAGCCGACATCGCGAATGCTTTCAACAGCATTTCGCGACAGGCTATCGCCGTTGCGTTACAAGAACCCAGCCTTTCGCCACTGCTACCGCTGGTCAAACTGACTTACGGTAACCCGTCGCAGCTGCATCTGGATGCAAACTTTACGAGCGACCCCTTGCAAAGTGAACGAGGCGTTCGCCAGGGCGATCCACTGGGCCCTCTCCTTTTCGCGGCGGGGATTCACCCCACACTTCGCGACACTGCAGCAGCGCACCCTGATGTGCTTTGTTTGGCGTATGCGGACGACGTGACCTTCGTGGGGGAAAAACGTGCAACTGTAGCTGCCTTCACCCACTTCACCTCAAAGCTGGAATTCCTGGGCCTGAAGCACAACCCGTAGAAGTGCACGGCATGGAGCGCACGCACGTGCGACTCAACTGAGCTGCCGCCAGAAGTCCCTTTCTGCAAGGACGGCGTTCGGCTGTTGGGAAGTTTTATTGGTGCAGCAGACGGGGCATCTGCTTTCCTGGCTGGGCAATTGGGGGAGATGGTGCAGCCCTTGCCACTCATCGAGCGGGCAAATCCGCAGGTCGCTTCGCTGCTGATCACGCGTTGCATCTCCCGGCGCGTGGCGTACCTCACACGGACGACCCCCCTCAATCTCGTCTCCCGGGACACTTGGACGCAGTGGGGCCGCGATCTCTTGATGACATTGCTTACCTCGTGCAATATCCGAGCTCCAGCGGGTAGAGCAGAACAGTCGCGCGTGTGGGCTCAGGCGACCCTTCCTCCGTCTCTTGGGGGTGTTGGGATCACAGACCCTCTCATCGAGGGCGTATACGGATTCGTCGCAAGTTTCACGCAGGCGGCGCAGCTCTTCGCCACGCTCACTCTACCCCCGGATTCTGCCCTGTCGCACGCATTCGGCCATATGCTCCTGCCGAGAGACGAGAGCACTCCACTCCGCTCCTGGCTCACTGAGTGCGAGACCACCCTGCCTTCAGACGCGCATGAACTGTTGGAACGAGAGCGACTGAAACGGACGGATGTGAAGCTGCAGCACGCCCTCGCTTGCCCTTCTCCACTCCCAAAAACTGTGACTGCGCGGACCACACAGCAATCACCGACCCCCGCCTCCCAAATCACCTCCTACGCTGCGGCACCGGCAAGCACCGCATCAACACTCACAACGAGGTCCGTGATGCTTGCATCAGCATGGCCCAGGATGCGGGATTCATAGTCCACAGTGAGTCGGCGGCCCATTGTCCCATCGAGGAGCAGACGGCCGACTTCACCATGACCGACAGGAGCAGCGGGGCGGTATGGGTGTGTGATGTGACTGTGACTGTGGCTTCCCCAACCACCTCCTCTGCTGCGGCACGGGAAAGCACCGCATCAACACTCACAACGAGCTGCGGGATGCTTGCATTAGCATGGCGCAAGACGCAGGGTTTATCGTGCACAGTGAGTCAGCCGCCTACTGCCCCATCGAGGAACAGACGGCCGATTTCACTATGACTGATAGGAGCAGCGGGGCGGTCTATGTGTGTGACGTCACCATCACTGACCCCATCAGCACTAGAGACCCAGAGGCACTGAAAGGGAGGGGATGGGCGGCTCGGGAGCAGACTGACAAAAAGATAAAGCATTACGCAAGACGGCCAGAGACAGTTGGCTTCTTCCCTCTGGCCGTGGAAACCTATGGCTGTCCATGCGCCGAAGTACCGACCTTCCTGAAACTCTTAGCAGACACTGCGGCTCGGCGCCACTTCAACGCCGACTCTAAATCCTTTCATGCCGCTAAGTTTCTGCACCAGTTCAGACAGAGATGGTCGGTGGCCCTGCAGCGAGCCCAATCTGTAGGCCTGCTACTCAAGCTGGGGGAGGCGGCGGCGGCAGAGAACCCGCCGGTAGGCGGTATTGGGCAAGAATTGAACCTAGGGGACTGTTTTGCGGTGGTCGAGCCCTTCCTAGAACTCTAGAGTGGTAGGATTTGTTGCTGTTACCTTTGTTTCTTTGACTTGCATGCTTGTATTCCGCGGTTATATCAATACAAGGACCATTAGAGAGAGAGAGAGAGAGAGAGAGAGAGAGAGAGAGAGAGAGCCGGTCTTGGCAAGGGTGGGGGACGAGTTCAGAAGGATGTGGGGGCGGGGCTGATAAGCTGACTCTGATGTTGAGAAGATGCGGGGGTAAGGAGGAGGGCTCGTAGACTGAGTCTGTTGAGATTTCTTCTGAAATCCATCCTCCGGTGTCCATACAGTGTTGCACTGTGTGGTGCGCATCTGCTCACTGAACTGTCACTTGAAGCCTAATTTCTCACCTGAGCTTTCTCTGATTCCAGCTTCTCACCAGAACTTTTTCCTGAAAGCCCTCCTCTGTGGTGTCAACGTAGTGCTGTGCCCCCAGCCTCCTTGCCTCTGCCTCCTTGCTTCGACCGCGAGAAAATGCCACCACCTCGTACCCCATCTTGCTGGCGTACTGTGAGTTACCGAATCATGAGGACGAGGGAGGAGTGGAGGGTGGTTGGGAGGGATGATGGTTGGCGAGAGAATGGCACCACCTCATACCCCATCTTGCTCGCGTACTGTGGGAAGCACAGGGGGGAATGACAAGTACGAGCGGCGGATGGGTTACGAGAAACATCAACGGTAAAGTTTGTACTGTGGGTGGGGATGATGGAAAGAGAGGAAACGGCGCCACCATATAACCCATGTTGCTTCCGTACTGTAAGGTGATGACAAGGATTATGAGGAAGGGGGAGGGGTGACAATAACGAGGGGCGGATGGCTATAGAACTAACGCCAGCACCTCTTACCCCACCTGGCTCGCATGCTGTGCGTTATAAGAACGGGGGGAAGGGGGGGTGAGGAGCGGTAGGGGGTGGGGAGGGGAGGTGTTGCTAAAGAGGATACGTTAGGAGGAATTGGGAAGGGAGAAGGAGTGACAGTAATGAGGGGTGGGTGGGTTTAGAACAAGTGAAGGGCAGAATCATGGCTAGAAAGACAATGTCTCCCCATCGTACCCCATCTTGCTCGCGTGCTGGTGTGATAGTAGCGAGGAGCAGCACGTGAGTCCAATCCAATGAAAGCGTATGGTTTGAGGGAAAAGGCAACTCCTTTATTCCCTTCCTCCTTGCCTTCACCCCACACTGCATTACTTTGATGAGTGATAGCAGCAGCAGAGAGCAAAAACTGGATGAATTTCTTGCAGCAGAGATAAAAATCACCTGAAACATTGCCAGAGACACACCTGAAACGTGCAACAGAGCACCTCACCTGAACAGCAAGGTGGCCCAGACCCCCCAGACCCTGAACGCCAACAGTGGCACCTGGAGAAGCACCTGCATGGCGCAGACTGTTGAACACCGTCAGACCTGGCATGGGAGACAAGGGGAAGGGGTTGGCATGGTTGAGAATGAGGAGCAGGGGAGCTGGACGCGTGACCCGTGCATGGTGGCACGTTGGGCTCCGTGTTTTGGGTTGGTGTGGTGCCTCGGGGGTGTAACGCGGGTGGGGCACTCGAGCGTGCCGTCCGCGGGTGGGGTCCTCTTCACTCATGGGGCAAAGGGGGGGGAACGGGGGGCAGGGGTGGGGGGAAGGAGGAAGGGGGGAGCGAGAGGGGAGGGCGG